GTGAGTATGAACTGCCATGATCGGTTTCGAACCTACTAAAGTTCGTTATCAAATGGCATTTTTACTGGAAACTGATCAAAAGACATTATTTCAATGTGAAAAATATCAAAACAATAGCATTAAATCGATATTAATCGAAATGGAAGAAAAATCTTCGAAAGAGTAGTCGCTTACTGTATAGCTTGTTTGAAAGGTTAGATGAGATGAAATGTGTTTGTTGTTGAACGTCGTGAGGTTGTGATGAGTAATTGTTTGGAAGATTCGTGAGATGATATATATTGCCGTTCGTATTTGGTGGAATTCGTATGAGTAATAAACAGCTCAATGCATTCAATTGTTGTTAGTTATTGTTGGTAAGAAATCTAGAAGGAAAGAAGAATTTTATTATGCGGTATGCTTATCTTAGTTCAGTATTGGAAATGGTTGAAAGTTATGGATGAATGTAACGAAATAAGTTTTATTTAGAAGAAAGTTCAGGTGTATGTTGAGTTTTGAAGTTATTTCTACGAATCGGTCGTTGATGGTTGATGATCTGTTGGATTGAATGATGCTGATAAAAGGAATTGTTTCGTATAGTTTGCACGTTCGATAGCTTCATTCACACGTTTCTGATATTCAGATGTTGATTCCATATATCTATTTTGAACGAAAAATTCTTCTGTTCTTTTTGTATAGTTGTTTGGATTTGTTCATGTTGTTTTCCTTGGATAAAGATAGCTTCTTGAATAATATCTTTCTTTCAAGTTATCAGTGTTTCAATGCAGTTCGATGAAGTATAAGTTATTGTTCAGTCTGTTAAGGAATCATTGAGTTTTTGAATATTGATATTTATATTATTTATGATTTTATGAAGTAAATGAGATGTTGAATTTAATGTTGTTGATAGAAGATTATGTTGTAACAAAGCAATATCTTCTTCTATTATCAGTTGATCTTTTGTTGCTTTCCATATATGTCTTGCTCACGTGACCTGTAACAAATTTGAATGAGAGAGAAATATGATTTTATCAGAGGAAATATTATAGTTGATATGCTCACATGTCTCCTGTTTGGTTCAATATCAAAAGAATTTTGAAGTAATTGGTGGTCAGTTGCGTTCATAAGTAACATTTTTCTTTGATATTCGAATGGATCCTGAGGCTCGAGGTTGGCTGGAGGAGGGGTCAAGGGGCAGGGACGTGACAGAAATGAAGAAAACATTTCATCCGCGCCTCAGAGGAGGGCTACATAGAAGAGTTGATTACGAAAAAGTAAAAACACACTCGGTGGACTGTCGCATACCAAGGGCCAGTAATCCAAAAATACATTCATTCACAAGTTACATACTGGAGAGCAATCTTAAATGCTGACCTTCGATACATTGAAAGGTTTTGTAGGCCTGGCCTTTAAGCCTTTTAATTAAGGAGATAGACTCAAATGCGAAATATATACAGAGTCTCATTTGGTCTTACTAAAATTATCTTTCTTTTAGAAAAAGGAGGATGTGTGTAAGGTGCAAATCGATAATAGTCATTTGTAGCGAACTTCTGCTTCCTGTAAACAGTGATTGTCAGTCGGGAATATCGAATAATTAATGGGAACACAAGTAGTCTTTTGGTTCTTTTGAAGACTGTGTGGCGAATGAAGATCAGTCTCTCGGCACCTTTTCAAGGGTTATACTTCTGTTGTTTTTATTTGCATAAAACGCACATAACCCTATTTTATTTTCAGTCAGTGGTTCAGTCGAGGGCGTAGCGAGTCATTCTCGACGAGCGTTATTTATTTTCTTGGACTGTTGAGAAAATGTCAATATAATAATTGATTGATTTTTGTCATAGACATCAAGAAAATATAAAACGCTTACATAGTGTGTCTCGAAAGTCACTTCCTAAAAGTCTTTGACGATGTCTCCACTATTTTGCTTTACTATATCGACTATTTTTTTTTCAAATGATAGGGATTTATATTAAGTTTTGTTTTATTTATACGATTATTATGAATATTGCTCAAACTTACTGTCTTCAAACGAAATACAAAGATTTAATTTTTTTTCTTTTCTTTGAAAAATACATTACAGAAAGGTTTTTCAGTTGACAGAATTTTTAATATGTTCAGATCTTGATGGGCTTCACAGTCATCTGATTTATGCTATTTGGATTTGTTCCTGAGAACACATTAGAATAAATATTTACAAACAAGAACCAAAGCTTTCAACGAATAAAAAGTCTGGAAAACTCGAGAGATTCGATTAATTGATAAAAACTTTGTGTAATGCATTTTTCAAAAAAAAAGAAAAAAAATTAAATCTTTGTATTTCGTTTGAAGACAGTACGTTTGAGCAATATTCATAATAATCGTATAAATAAAACAAAACCTAATGTAAATCCTTATCATTTGAAAAAGAAGTCGATATAGTAAAGCAAAATAGTGGAGACATCGTCAAAGACTTTTAGGAAGTGACTTTCAGGACATACTATATAAATGAGAACGTGTAACATATCGATAGATCATATTTTATTATAAAGTTGTCATGCTGCCTGACTTCCATGAATAAATAAGTAAATATTATTGATCTATGTGAAGAATTTTTTATTCGAAGAGTTAAAAGAAAGAGAGATAAAAAGGGGAGAAATGAGAAGTTAAACACAGAATTTTTTGATGTCTATTCAGACACTTATCTAGAGAAACGCGTATATATGCATATATAGGAAAACATTAATACGAAAGGGAAGCACACAAATACATCATGTATATAGGGAGAAAAAAATTCTTACTGCGTAGGGATATACCTAACTACATCACAAAAACATGAAATCTTTTCAACGCTAGTTGCAACAATGTCTTTCATCTAACAATGGTAAGCACTGTGACAGCTCGCGTGACATCCGGTAGCAGCCGCAGTACAGCCTCGCCATAAACATGGATAATCACATCTGTTGACACAAGCTGCTAAGTCTGCCTGACAATCTCGCTTGCGACGAAGTTTGCTCGAGTCTATTAAAGCTTCGTTGAAACTAGCCAAATCTCTTCCATCACCATGAAGTGATTCGTCAGCAATTGCCCGTTTCATGAACTGAACACCTAAAGAAATAAAAATATTCGGTATTGATACAGAATCCTATGATCTGGTATACTTACTGCGAGCGTCAACCATACTTTGAAGAAAAAAAGCCATTGCAATCATCGCGATTAAAAAACAGTGTACTTTCATGGTCGAAGCTTCCTTTGTATCTTATTATCTGAAAAATATTGAATTTAATTTCGCATGAACACCCATGTGTCTCGATATCATAAGCAAAGATAGCTTTTACATAATATCATATAGTCTTACAACGAAAAAACAAGTGCTGATGTTCAACGAACTCACAGAACTTTTGTTATTTATTTATCTCTGCGATCACTTAAGTAATTTCAATAAGTAAACAGTTCTTTTAAACAGCATTCGAAACAGTGCTTATAGTGTAAAAATGAAGGTGATAGTCTCAGAAATAACAGATATAAACATGAAGATATCATAGACTTTCTTTTAGGAAATGTTTTTACACTTCCGAAAATCTTTCCACTGTATGTTTAGTCAGTTTCAGGATGTGGGTGAGAGTGTGGACGAATAATATATTTTAGGCACTTTGACCATCGTACTGCTGTTTATCGTCCAATCTGTAAAAATGTTTTTAGAAAAATGATCAGAAAAGAAAGCTCTAAAAAAAAAAACCTGTCAGATAAAAGAGTTTCTAAGACCTTTATGTTTTTCTAGTTGGACATGCACACATAGGAATGTCGAACCACATGAAGATCTCTATAAATCTGTAGTCTATTATTATCGTGTGTATGACAAGTTGCTCTTCTAAATTCTGCTTTTTACGGACTTTCATTTGGTATCAAATTGATTAGATATATCTTGAAATATGAACTGGAATACCATTATTTCCTACACTGTAGGAGATATGAACAGAGCATTTTGTAGAAAACTACTTTTGGTCCGTTTAAGAATTCGTTCCTTGGAAATCGAATTATAGGCTAGAGAAGAAAATCTAAACATATACCCAGAAAGAACGAGAACTGCTAATCCTAGTAGAGTACTTTTGATTCTCTCGAATGAATTAGTCATCATCGAAAACTGACTAAACATACAGTGAAAAGATTTTTGGAAGTGTAAAAACATTTCCTAAAAGAAAGTCTATGATATCCTCATGTTTATATCTGTTATTTCTGAGACTATCACCTTCATTTTTACACTATAAGCACTGATTCGAATGCTGTTTAAAAGAACTGTTTACTTACTGAAATTACTTAAGTGATCGCAGAGATATATAAATAATAAAAGTTCTGTAAGCTCGTTGTAAATACTTTATATTGATGCCAGAGAAATAGCAAAGATCAATACCAAGATTTGTAATTGCTTGTGGATAATATGATGAAGTTATTTTGAATAATACTTTCAGTATTGTATTATCTATCCGTATATATACTCTTGCTTTTGCCGAAGAGTTATACGCAATACTGAATCATCTGTGTCAGCCAGTTGCTTTCACTATTTATTATGATGTATTGTTCTATATATTCAAAACAAAAGTTTTTCGTTATGAGGATTTGAAATAGATAAACAACGTAAAGGTGCGTAGAGTGGAGCGCATGATGGGGATTTTACATCATGCGTAATATTCGACCATCTGCGTCATTCACTTGCTTTCACTATGGATTATGATCCATTGTTCTATGTATTCAAAACAAAAGTTTTTCATTATGAGGATTCAAAATAGAAATAGAATGTAAATATGTATAGAGTAGAAATGAATGAGTATAATACTGCTACGAAAAATAAATCCGGAAGCATAATATATTTATCATCAGTGGATCCGTTGAAGTCAAGAAATCATCGATGGATTGTTTCATCATTCGTTTAAGAAAATTTTTCGAAGATTTAAGCGACAATCACAATGTACGTAATCCAATGATTTGTAGACGAGCTACAAATTCAGTCCAACATATGTAATAAAATGGCCATGTTTTTCAACATAATTATCGATCGTTAACTGTTGTCACTATGGTATGTATTTTTATTCTAAATTCTTGGGAAATGAAATATTTTTTATGTTTAGTACTGCATTATGCATTAGTGCTCTGCTTATGACAAAACCGATCATTTATATGACGATAATCCTGAAATAATACTTTTCATATTGATGTGAATGACGATTTCTGCCACAACTCATTTCCATAACCAAATAGTACTGAATTTATTATTAGTATTCTACGCACTGCTAAAACTTGTCATTTTCATTAATTGTACTCGATCTCAACGATGACGACTCAATTACTTGTCATTATTTTCAACTTCGAAAGGCAATTCTAAAAACAAAAGTTTAAACTTGAACAGATGTATAGGATTTGATATAGAGTTGGTTCAATGCATTTAAATCTTCTCGCGAAAGAATGAGAATAGATTGGAATTGATTTATTTTCATGTGATTCGAATATAAATCGTAAATACGATCATATCTATGATGAAATATTATTTGAAAGTATGTCAAAGGTAAACTGTTTCATGTTGAAAAATGAATCTAACGCTTAAATTTGCTTATCAAAACTGTGTTTCTATTCTAACTCGAATTAGGAATTGATTGTAATCTGCTTTTTGTGATGTCAACAAGCCATCGATTTCTTTCCAGAAATGTGCTTGAATAATTTCAAATTAAGATGAACTAGAAGTGAAAACTTATCGCCATTGATTATAATCTAAACGACTCTGTCGTATAAATATGAAGACTATTTTCTAGGAGATTAACTTTGAAAAACAGTCAGAGCTAATTATGCTTTTGAATATTTTTCTCTAAATTTTCTTTTCAAATTTATTTTCTCCAAAGGAATGGCAATCAATCAGTATTGATTCTATTCTTCATGGCTCACTAATATTAAGAATATATGGAAAACAGCTACAAATCATACTAGCAGTCGTTCAACCGAACTAATTTCGCTCTAGGATCATTTCTCAGGATATAATATATAGAAATTTATTAATGTGTATTGAAACGACCAACATGTGATCAAGATTGATGCTTCGAATCAATTTTTATTATCTGTTCAACGATCTTCTATCGACAATATAGTTTTATCTATCGTCCGAATCGGTACTGAATGTACAACAATTTGTTTCAAATCAAGCTCATGCCAAATAAATGTATTTTTCCCGGAAAAAACACGTTTGAAACTTAGGGGTGGACCATTTCCGTTAATTTGAAATTAACGTAAACAGTAACCCGTTAACCGTTAATATTAACGTTAACGGTTGATGTTAACGTTAATATTAACAATTAACGGGTTATACTTAGCCGTTAATTTCCACTTTATTAAGTGATTAACGTATAAGAAAGATCTTCTATTGCTTCAGAGGCAATTGTAGATCCCTCCTGACTATGCAAATATAGATTCATGAAGNTTGTCATTTTCATTAATTGTACTCGATCTCAACGATGACGACTCAATTACTTGTCATTATTTTCAACTTCGAAAGGCAATTCTAAAAACAAAAGTTTAAACTTGAACAGATGTATAGGATTTGATATAGAGTTGATTCAATGCATTTAAATCTTCTCCTGAAAGAATGAGAATATACTGGAATTGATTTATTTTCATGTGATTCGAATATAAATCGTAATTTCATCATATCTATGATGAAATATTATTTGAAAGTATGTCAAAGGTAAACTGTTTCATGTTGAAAAATGAATCTGACGCTTAAATTTGCTTATCAAAACTGTGTTTCTATTCTAATTCGAATTAGGAATTGATTGTAATCTGCTTTTTTTTATGTCAACAAGCCATCGATTTCTTTCCGGAAATGTATTTGAATAATTTCAAATTAAAATGAACTAGAAGTGAAAACTTATCGCCATTGATCATAATCTAAACGATTCTGTCGTATAAATATGAGGACTAGTTTATAGGAGATTAACTTTGAAAAACAGTCAGAGCTAATTATGCTTTTGAATATTTTTCTCTAAATTTTCTCCAAAGGAATGGCAATCAATCAGTACTGATTCTATTCTTCATGGCTCACTATAATATTAGGAATATATGGAAAACAGCTACAAACCACACTGGCAGTCATTCAACCGAACTAATTTCGCGCTAGGATCATTTCTCAGGATATAATCAATAGAAATTTATTAATGTGTATTGAAACGATCAATCGCTCACGAAATATGCTTCGTCTCATAAAATGTGGAATTGATCTATATATGTGTTTTTTTCATGAATTGGACACAAAATGGTATATACGTAAACTTGATTAATTTACTGTTTGTCACTTCGACGAAATTTCTACCCTTACACTATTGTTTGAGTCATCATTTGGAAACGGAATGGTTAAACATGAATTTTTAGGATGACTGTGGCAAAAAGAGTATAAATGTCTACTTGCACAATACATCAAAATGATCATCCGGATTCCGGATGCTGTATGACTAGACATCAGTCGTCCCACTGACTTTTATACACGATGTATTCAATCTTTCTGATGCAATGTGATTCAAACTACCAAGTTGACGACAGACAGATAAAAATCAAGATTTCGATGCTGTAGCTTGTAAAAGCTATAAGAATGTATTATCTTGAGATTGGAATACTCTATTATTGATATACCAAGGTGATGAAAGACAACTCTCAGTCAAATTGAATTGGAAGGAAATCCATGAAGTCAACATTTGATTATTTTTCGGAACAAAACTCTGTCCGACTATTTTTCAAATGCATCTTGAGAGGGTGTGTAAGCGTAAATGTCGGAATAGATATTATTCTCTTGTACTCTTGTCTCTGAATGATCTAAGATAACGAAGATTATTTCTTACATGATTTATCATATTATTCCAAAATAATGTGACTAAAACTTTGACTGTTTTATACGATGATCGACACGAACATATCACGTCTATTTAGTGTTAATGTCTATATATTCCAACAGTTATGTCTGAATCGTTGGCATGATTGTAGCGTGTCTCAGTTTCCATTTTCGAAGGCAAAAGGCGATAACACTGACTACTCGAGGTACTATCAATTTCAAAGCTGTTGTTAGACCACCAATCAATCCAGCTAATATGGTGATGATATAAATAATACTGTACTTTGTTTCGTAAGTATATATACATTTTGTGGGTTTACATTCATTATAATAATTCTTATAAAGTATCAATTTATCCCATTCATCGACCATTAGTTCATCGATGATGGCTTCAACAGTTGAATTTTCAGAAAAATTAAGTAATACTGACTTATCAAGAACTGTTACATTGATTGGTACACGAGAAAACAAATACGATTGTAACTGAGTAATACACGTTTGATTGTAGAAACATGTGAGATCGGATTGAAGCAATGCTTCCACTACATAACAGCCAATATAAATGCCTGGTACTGTAAATATTACGGCGCCACTAGTATTATTTAGCAGTGCTGATTTGCGAACACATTTAGCCGAGGATGCACAATCGCATGTTTCGAACGAACGTTCACTGTGATATAGTGATGTCATGGGACATCTCCCTCCTATAGATGTCATGACTCTCTTGTTCTTGTTGGAAATATCCTTACGGAATATTCCATGTCGTCATAGACTGTTGGAATACTCGCAGGGTATTTCCCCCTTTCTAGTGTTATATATATAGTCATGATGTTTTCGTAGTGTAGTCAGTTTTTATGTTTATTTCTAAATAAACTCTCTCACTTCAAGACATGACAGTTCACCCATATAAAATTTTAATCCACCTTCTGTGACAGATTCTAGTGCGACGGTNTCTAGTTCGCTGATACCTGTTTGCTTATAAAGACATACCAAATTCGATTGAAGTAACGTTTCAATGATATAACATCCAGTATAAAAGCCAGGTACAGAGAAGCGTACCTCATAATCAGAATTATATATGGCAGATCCAGAGGGACATCTAGGTGAAGTGGTACAACTACAGTTATCGTATGTGAAGGAAGATCCACTCAGAGTCCGATTTGAAGACCCTATTCTGAAGCCATAATTAGTCAGTTTTCCAGATAACAAAGAATTACTTTGAGTTGTGTCTCTTATTGCAGAGAGTGAGAATAAGAAATTATTCCTAGTTGACTGTATAAACTGAGATATGAAAGCTTCAAACTGAGATTGAAATACTTCTACGGATATCACAGATGCAGTAATATAGTGAGTGAAATGGAAGGGAATCAAACGATTGTTAATGATCCGTCTGATCGAGTCACAGACAGCATATAAACCTTGAAATACCAATGGACTTATCCATCGAAAATCATCGCCATAAAGACCTATATCGTCAGAAAAGTGAGCGAGATACNATCCACGGAAATTGTTGAGCAAGGGCATATTAATATTTGTCCATGTTGTTCATACAATTGTGAGTATTGTGTGATTGTTGGTGATGGAATAGTAACAGTCTGTGTGATAGTGATGAGTGAATTGTAGACAAGGAGAATAGTTAATGATCCAATTAAGCAGAGGAGAAATAATCTTGTAGATATCCGTTGATTATGAAGTTGATGTTCATCAGTAGATGGAGGAATTGATGGAAATATATTTAATGTATAAAAACAATCGTTGACTCGTGTAAGTTTGTTTTGTCTATTCTGTTGCTCGGCTGGCTCTAAAAAAATCCAAACATAATAGATCTCGACTTTGAAGAAATCTGTAATACTACTCTTCATAGATACAACAGTAAAAATTCTTGAGTATGTCTTGCCAATTTCTTCTACATCGGATACTTTTCTTCGTCTTATAAACATTACTAATCGTGGTATAACTAATTTCAGTACTGTTATTAAACCACCTATCAACCCAACCAATGTTGTGATAAGATAAGTAACACTGTTCTTTGTCTCATAAGTATAGACGCAATTTGTTGGTTTACATTCATTAAAATAATTCTCAGGAAGTATCGACTTATTCCATTGTTGAACCATTAACAGAGTAAGAATATCTCGAATGGTCGAGGTTTCGTCGAAGTAAATTAACAATGACGAATCTAATGCTGATATGTTCATCGATATCGAAGAATTGATATATGATTGTAGTCGAGTGATACATGCTTGATTGTAAAAACATCTGAGATCGGATCGAAGTAATGCTTCAATCACATAACAACCAGTATAAAAACCAGGTATTGAGAATATCCGCATGCCATTAGCATTCCAAATTGATGAATCATCGGTACAAATAGCTGAGGTTATACATTCACAATTACCATACGGTATTGTATATGTAATTACATTATTAGTCGTTCTAGATGACATGAATCCATAATTAGTCAGTTTTCCAGACATTAAACCGTTACTTTGAGTTATGTCTCGTATTGTAGAGAGTGAATTCACGAAATCGTTCCTAGTCGATATGTTAAACGTAGTCAAGAAACCCTCAGACTGATATTGAAATTCTTTTAAGGATGTCACAGACGCACTAACATATTGAATTGAATAGAACTGAGTCAGACGATTTACAATGGTCTTATTCATTAATCGGCAAAGAGTACTCAACGCTTGGAATGCTAATGTTGATGTCCAGCGAAAGTCATCAGAAAATACTATATAATCAGTCTTAAACTGAAAGGTAATCAATCCAATTGTCGGTGACAAAGTCGCTGTAACATACTGGATGGAATGTATATTCAATACGAAAAAATGTACCGTAATCGATCGAAATTTTTGAACAAGGACATGTTAATGTTTGTGGATATTTTTCATATAATTGTGAATATTGTGTGATTGTTGGAGATAGAACAATAACAGTCTGTGTGATAGTAATGACTGAATTGTAGACAAGGAGAATAGTTAACGATACGATTAAACAAAAGAGAAATAATCTTGTAGATATCCGTTGATTATAAAGTTGATGTTCATCAGTAGATGGAGGAATTGATGGAAACAAATTTAGATCTCGAACAAAAGTCTTTATTTTTCGTCTGAGATTTGACGCCGAATGAGGAGTATTCATTTCTAAAGTCAAATGTTTAGTGTTATCAATATTCTCATTCATGCATTCGCGTTCTCGAAACAAAAAGACATACATACCATTCATTATATAAAAAATAGATCGATGTTGCAGTACTCTGTTAGAGAACTAGTGATTCGAAACCAGCATTTTCTTGATGCTTGATGTTTAGTCACTGACTATTATCGTCATTTAATATTGTAGTTTTTATATCAGTTACGAAGTGTACCTAGAAAGAAAAAGAAAATACAACCAGAATAATTTCTTTTTCTAAATGACATGTTATTTTCTGATTGGTAGAGTTGATAGTCTGTTTTGATAAAAAAAAACTATTATAATTTTGTCTTTCTTTTCATATCCGGAATTTGATAGTGGTAAATGTCGTCGAAGAAAGAATAAATTGTGTTACAACAAATTTCTATGCTTTCAGAACGATATGCCATTACATAGTGTGAGAAGATGCGTAGGTGCTAAATAATGCATTGATTGCGAATTGACTAAATAGCAAAAAAAAAGAAAAATTATGCACACATCAAAAATTTTTATATTCTGTTTTTTTTTTTGGGAGAGCCAATTTCCTTTGTAGAATAATTATTTTCTAATAACTAAACTAAATACATCTGTAATTTAAACAAAAAATTGAATTCGCCTTCGCAACACTATAATAATAGTTATTTCGCAGTAGTGATGTTTTTCTCTCTATAAATTTGATTATCAGTTGGGATAGATACTAACGAGGTAGTGCTGGGTATTTCTGAAAAGTGGATCTCCTTGATATGTGTATAACATAGGAGAGTTTCATTGCAGGCGGAACATTTTATGGCAGAAATCGTCGAAATCCAATGCAAATTCGTCACCAAGAACCCTGTAGGATGATCGGATCTATTGTTGAATTCGTGGAATTGGGATGAGATATTGAAAAATAAACACATTTATCTTGACACTATCAAATGGAAAAGAATGTAAATATGTTGACAAGTTTTATCATAATAATTTTTTCAACTTACAAGTAATATGTGTAATTTCGAGCAAGATGTTTCATAGATTTTGTAAATAGAATTTTTCTAAATATTGTATATTGAGAGTTATATTTTTCTTACTGAACAAATTTATACATACTAAGTTTTTTCCAAGTGATGTTTATAGAGAATTTTATTGTTCTCTTCTAATTTAACTATATAAATGATATACTATAACCGACTGTCGTTACATATTATTTTATTGATATAATTATTATCAATCTTGTACTGAGTGAAAATCAGAAGTAAACCAATAGATATTTAACTATGGTTTGGAGATCAAGCAGAATACATTTCTTGATTTTATTGTTATGAGAAAATAATAAATAAAGAATTTTTAAAAGTATTCCTTGTATATCCAATGTATACAAGACGTGAATATTTATCATCGATGAATCTCCATTAAATCACGATTTAATCCATTTGAATTCGTTAGTATATACAGTGAAAGACTATTCATGTCAATTCTGAATGGTTTACTATTATCAACATAATAAATAGTTGATCGACCATCATAATTCTTTATTCTCCCATCTACACATATACTCTCATTTGCAAACATATTGTGAACAAGAAATTTTTATGATTACCTTGAGAATGTGGATAATTACAGACGATATAAGATCCAAGAGTTTCTTTCCTCTTATTGTTTATATAATTGAAATCAAAATATTGTCATATTCACCGAAATTATTAAACTAATTTTATAATGAAAATTTTAGATATTCTATCTTATTCTGTTGTAATTATATCAATAAACGTTTTATAGGTAAAAGCAGAGAGTAATGGTAAACATACAGGAAAGTTATTTTTCATCAACAAACTAATTAGAACATTTCGTTGATAGATACTCNTTTGAACAAGGACATGTTAATGTTTGTGGATACTTTTCATACAATTGTGAATATTGTGTGATTGTTGGAGATAGAACAGTAACAGTCTGTGTGATAGTAATGACTGAATTGTAGACAAGGAGAATAGTTAAGGATAGGATTAAACAAAAGAGAAATAATCTTGTAGATATCTGTTGATTACGAAGTTGATGTTCATCAGTAGATGGAGGAATTGATGGAAATAAGTTAAAATTCTTAACAAATATCTTTGATTTTTCTTTGAATTGTAAAATTCGTTGATTAAGATTTACTCCTTAAAAAGAAAAGGTCAAATAAACTTGTAATTGAAGGTATCAGTTCAAAATGTACTTTCCGCGATATTTTCTTACCTATTTGTGGTTCTACTCGTTCTTTTTTCTTTCTTACAAACGTTACTAATCGTGGTATAACTAATTTCAATACTGTAATCAATCCACCAATCAATCCAATTAATGCTGTGATAATATAAATACGACTATTCTTTCTTTGATACGTGTAGCTACATTGAATTGGTTGACATTCGTTATAATACTTCTCATATTCTATTGATGGAAGCCACTCTTCTATCATTAGTTGTTCAACAAGTATTCTGACTGTTGAATCTCGAGAAAAATTACTTGCTGTCGACGTGACAAGAGCTGTTACATTTGATGGTACTGATGGAATAAAATATGATTCTAGTTCGCTGATACATGTTTGATTGTAAAGACATACCAAATTCGATTGAAGTAACGTTTCAATGATATAACATCCAGTATAAAAGCCAGGTACATAGAAGAGTACCTCATAATCAGAATTATATACGGCAGATCCAGAGCTACATCTCGATGAAGTGGTACAACTACAATTATCGTATGTGAAGGAAGATCCACTCAGAGTCCGATTTGAAGACCCTATTCGGAAGCCATAATTAGTCAGTTTTCCAGATAATAAAGAATTACTCTGAGTTGTGTCTCTTATTGCAGAGAGTGAGAATAAGAAATTATTCCTAGTTGATTGTATAAACTGAGATATGAAAGCTTCAAACTGAGATTGAAATACTTCTACGGATATCACAGATGCAGTAATATAGTGAGTGAAATGAAAGGCAATCAAACGATTGTTAATCATCCGCCTGATCGAGTCACATACAGCATATAAACTTTGAAATACCAATGGACTTAGCCATCGAAAATCATCTCCATAAAGATCTATATCTTCTGAAAATTGAGCTAGATACTCAATCCATTTTTCGCTGACAAAATCGCTATAACAAACTTGATGAATTTTGTAACCAAGATTAAGAAATTTCCTATAATCCACTGAAATTGTTGAACAAGGGCATATTAATATTTGTCCATGTTGTTCATACAATTGTGAGTATTGTGTGATTGTTGGAGATGGGATAGTAATAGTTTGTGTGATAGTGATGAGCGAATTGTAGACAAGGAGAATGGTTAATGATCCAATTAAGCAGAGGAGAAATAATCTTGTAGATATCCGTTGATTATGAAGTTGATGTTCATCGGTAGATGGAGGAATTGATGGAAATATATTTAATGTATAAAAACAACCCTTGACTCGTGTAAGTTTGTTTTGTCTATTCTGTTGCTCAGCTGGCTCTAAAAAATATCCAAATATAATATATCTCGACTTTGAAGAAATCTGTAATACTACTCTGCACAGATACAACAGTAAAAGCTCTTGAATATGTCTTGCCAATTTCTTCTACATCGGTTACTTTTCTTCGTCTTATAAACATTACTAATCGTGGTATAACTAATTTCAGTACTGTTATTAAACCACCTATTAGCCCAACTAATGTTGTGATAATATAAATAGCACTGTTATTTGTCTCATAAGTATAGACGCAATTTGTTGGTTTACATTCATTAAAATAATTCTCAGGAAGTTTCGACTTATTCCATTGTTGAACCATTAACAGAGTAAGAATATCTCGAATGGTCGAGGTTTCGTCGAAGTAAATTAACAATGATGAATCTAATGCTGATATGTTCATCGATATCGAAGAATTGATATATGATTGTAATCGAGTGATACATGCTTGATTGTAAAAACATCTGAGATCGGATCGAAGTAATGCTTCAATCACATAACAACCAGTATAAAAACCAGGTATTGAGAATATCCGCCTGCCATTAGCATTCCAAATTGATGAATCATCGGTACAAATAGCTGAGGTTATACATTCACAACTACCATACGGTATTGTATATGTAACTACATTATTAGTAGTTCTAGATGACATGAATCCATAATTAGTCAGTTTTCCAGACATTAAACCGTTACTTTGAGTTATATCTCGTATTGTAGAGAGTGAATTCACAAAATCGTTCCTAGTCGATATGTTAAACGTAGTCAAGAAACCTTCAGACTGGTATTGAAATTCTTTCAAGGATGTCACAGATGCACTAACATATTGCATTGAATAGAACTGAGTCAGACGATTTACAATGGTCTTATTCATTAATCGGCAAAGAGTACTCAACGCTTGGAATGTCAATGTTGATGTCCAGCGAAAGTCATCAGAAAATACTATATAGTCAGTCTTAAACTGTGAAAGGTAATCAATCCAATTGTCGGTGACAAAGTCGCTGTAACAAACTGGATGGAATGTATATTCAATACGAAAAAATGTACCGTAATCGATCGAAATTTTTGAACAAGGACATGTTAATGTTTGTGGATATTTTTCATACAATTGTGAATATTGTGTAATTGTTGGAGATAGAACAGTAACAGTCTGTGTGATAGTAATGACTGAATTGTAGACAAGGAGAATAGTTAAGGATAGGATTAAACAAAAGAGAAATAATCTTGTAGATATCTGTTGATTACGAAGTTGATGTTCATCAGTAGATGGAGGAATTGATGGAAACAAATTTAGATCTCGAACAAAAGTCTTTATTTTTCGTCTGAGATTTGACGCTGCATGAGGAATATTCATTTCTAAAATCAAATGTTTGATGTTATCAATATTCTCATTCATGCATTCGCGTTCTCGAAACAAAAAGAAATACATACCATTCATTATATAAAAAATAGATCGATGTTGCAGTACCCTGTTAGAGATCTAGTGATTTGAAACCAGCATTTTCTTGATGCTTGACGTTCAGTCACTGACTATTATCGTTATTTAATATTGTAGTTTTTATATCAGTTACGAAGTGTACCGACAAAGAAAAAGAAAATACAACCAGAAGAATTTCTTTTTCTAAATGACCTGTTAGTTTCTGATTGGTAGAATTGATAGTCTGTTTTGATAAAAGAAAACTATTATAATTTTATGTCTTTCTTTTCATATCCGGAATTTGATAGTGATATATGTCGTCGAAGAAAGAATAACTTGTGTTACAGTAAATTTCTATGTTTATAGAAAGATGTGCCGCTACATAGTGTGAGACGATGCGTAGATGCTAAATAATGCATTGATTGCGAATTGACTAAATAGAAAAAAAAGAAAAAGAAAAATTATGCACACACCAAAAATTTTTATATTCTGTTTTTTTTTTGGAAGAGCCAATTTCCTTTGTAGAATAATTATTTTCTAATAACTAAACTAAATACATCTGTAGTTAGTTCGAAGTAGTGATGTTTTTCTCTGTATAAATTTGATTATCAGTTGGGATAGTTACTAACGAGCCAGTACTGGGTATTTCTGAAAAGTGGATTTCCTTGATACGTGTATAAAATAGGAAAGTTTCATTGCAGGCGGAACATTTTATGACAGAAACCGTCGAAATCCAATGCAAATTCGTCACCAAGAATCCTATAGGATTACGTAGGATGATCGGATCTATTGTTGGATTCATGAAATTGGGATGGGATATTGAAAAATAAACACATTTATCTTGACACTATCAAATGGAAGAGAATGTAAATATGTTGACAAGTTTTATCATAATAATTTTTTTCAACTTAGAAGTAATATGCATAATTTCGAGCAAGATGCTTCATAGATTTTGTAAATAGAATTTTTCTAAATATTGTGTCATGAGAGTTATATTTTTCTTTCTGCACAGATTTATACATACTGGTTTTTTTCCAAATGATGTTTATAGAGAATTCTATTGTTCTCTTTTAACTTAACTATATAAATGATATACTATAACCAACTGTCGTTACATATTATTTTATTGTTATGAGAAAATAATAAATAAAGAATTTTTAAAAGTATTCCTTGTATATCCAATGTATACAAGACGTGAATATTTATCATCGATGAATCTACATTAAATCGCGATTTAATCCATTTGAATTCGTTAGTATATACAGTGAAAGACTATTCATATCAATTCTGAATGGTTTACTATTATCAACATGATAAATAGTTGATAGGCCATCATAGTTCTTTATTCTCCTATCTACATATATACTCTCATTTGCAAGCATATTGTGAACAAGAAATTTTTATGATTACCTTGAGAATGTGGATAATTACAGACGATATAAGATCCAAGAGTTTCTTTCCTCTTATTGTTTATATAATTGAAATTTAAATATTGTCATATTCACTGAAATTATTAAACTAGTTTTATAATGAAAATTTTAGATATTCTATCTTATTTTGTTGTAATTATATCAATAAACGTTTTATAGGTAAAAGCAGAGAGTAATGGTAAACATACAGGCAAATTATTTTTCATCAACAAACTAATTAGAACATCATAGGTATCGATAAATTTTAATGAGAATATTTGATTTGGTTATCATAACGCAAAACAAGACTGATAACAAGTATCTGTTTTTTATTAGAATTTATAAAAATGGATGCTAATCTAGAAGCATTTTCTCTCGTATGGTTGCATTTTTCAGCTAATGGGTTTGAAGAAAATCATCACGCTTATCAACAACTTCGATCAACGATCAATCATATTCGAACATTTGAGGATGAGAGGAGCTGTGAAAAATACATAAAAAATTCGTCAGACGATCGTATTGTAGTTATCGTTAGTGGACAACTGAATCTAGAAATCATCAATCGAATCCAACGTTTGGAGAACGTAAGGGCAATTTATGTTCATTATATTGATCAAAACAAACACGAAGTTGACATAAGTAAATGTAATAAAGTAAGTATTTGAATTTCGACAAAATATTATCTAATTATTTCGAAACGAAGAAATTATACGAATGAGATTCGGATAGTTTTATAGTAGAATAAATTTGAATGATATCTGATTTGATGTGATCATAGTATAAAACTTTATTCGACTACAAAAAAATATTACCAATGTTGAAATGTTACATTTTCCAGAATTTTTATATAATCTAACTGAACATGTATTGAGAGAAGGTTAGTTGATATAAAGGAAAGTATAATGATGATATTTATTTTTATTTTCAAAGATCTACGTCATTCAATTAACAATTAAATTTAATTATTTCATAATTGTTTATAAATATTTCTGATTTTCATTTAATGAGTATCTATCGACGAAATGTTATTAGTGACATAGAACACTTATGAATGAAACTGTAATCAGTAGTAATTAAGACGTTAGTCGATTTTCTTGTTTTTTTTGTTATCCTGTGTAAATTCAATTCGTAGTCTTCAGGAAACATATGTTTATACTTTAAATTTCAGAAAGAAATCCATATCGGTTCTTTGCTTATTATGGAAAAACAATAGAACACTAGGAAGTGAACAGATCTAATGTTGTTGTTGTTATTTTTATATAGGTCAGAGTTGTACTCAGCGATATCAATGAATTGATCGTTCAGATTAAAGCTGATCAAAATAAACGAAATAAAATAGAAGAACCTCTTTCCATCAGCGTGTTAAACAATATAAATGAACAGGAAGAAAAATCATCGTTGGATATAAATGGAACATATCTTCACTATCAACTACTCATTGATGTTCTTATGCGAATGCTGTCATCCTCAAATGATAAAAATGAACTAATCGATGTTTGCAAAAAAGAATATCAGAACAACTCACTTCAACATAACATTCTTGATGAATTCGAACATACATACTGTTCGGATCAAGCCATCTGGTGGTACACAAGAGAATCTTTTCTCTATCGTATTCTCAACAAAGCGCTTCGTGTTCAGAATATTGATCTTCTTTTTCTTTTTCGCTTCTTCATTCGTGATATTTATCAGCAACTCGAAAAATTAAAATCAACTCAATCTAAACAGTTGATACGTGTTTACCGTGCCCAGTTACTAGCGAATGATGAACTTGCTGTTCTTGCCAATTCCGTGGGCAGAATAATCTCAATGAATTCATTTTTGTCGGCCAGTCGCGATCAAAACTATGTTTTATTTATTTTGGGTGATTCAGATCCTGTTAACGACTGTTTGAAGCGTGTTATTTTCCAAATTGATGCCGATCTAAGCATTGAAAATATCAAACCGTTTGCTGATGTCAGTCAAAACAGCTTTTTTCGAGAGGAACAAGAAGTACTATTCATGGCTGGAAGTATCTTTCGTCTTACTGAGATTAAAGAAGTCAACGGAATATGGACCATTGGATTAGTTCTCTGTAGAGAAGAAGAAAATGATTTACGAGCACTTTATAAACACATGACAAAAAAGAAAACATCAACTATTACTTTGCTGACATTGGGGAGTGCTCTGTCTGAGTCAGGCAAATTTAACCAAGCTGAACGATTTTTTCAGAAAATGCTCCAAGAATTACCTTCGAACGATTATTCTAGTTTAGCAGAAAGTTACCAAGGATTAGCGATTATCTTTGCCGAGAGAGGAGACTATGAAGGCAGTCTTGTATGGAATCAGAAGGCGCTCGAACTATTGAGACAAGAACTTTCTCCTGATCATCCAGACATTGGTTTTAGTTATAATAACATTGGTATTGTTTATTGGAAAATGAATCAACTCGAGAACGCGCTAGAATCTCTGAGAAAAGCTGTTAATATTTTCGAGAAAACTGATGATGAGGATCGTCACCATCGGATTGCTGCATGTTATACCAATATGGCTCTCATTCGAAGACACCAAAAAAGGTACGAAGAAGCATTAGAATACCTCTATAAATCTCTTGCGCTTAATGAACAAGTGCTTCCCTCTGATCACCATAGTCTGGCTGAGACACATACTAATATTGGTTCTGTCTATAAATATCTGGGTCTATTCGATATTGCTCTTGAACATTTCAACCGTTCACTTTCTATTTCACTTCGATCGCTTCCTCACGAGCATCGTAACATTGCTATTATCTATTGTAACATGGGTATCATTTACGAAGCAATCGATGATTTCAATTTAGCTTTGATATATTATGAAAAAGCATCTGTTATTTTTCACAAGACACTCCCAGATCATCATTCGCAACTCATCAATTGTGACCTAAATCTTCAGCGAGTCAAGTCACAACTCAGCAAAAACTAATATGCAAACGAATGATGTTATTGTTCATATTTATCAGAAGTATTCTTTTACATATATTTTTAGTACTTATATAAATAATTTCTATTTGTGCAAAGAATATTATTCTTGAACGAAACATTTCGAAGGAGATCTTTACTAGTACTATATCAGTGCCCACCACACTCTTATCAATAGTGGGTGAGGATGGGTGTGGGTGAAGGTGTTAATAATAGATCTGTCTAATACCGAGACCCACACCTTTGAGATGATAGTCAAATGAAATTCAACATAATAAATTTATTGAGATAGTATTTACTTTAAAATCACGGTAAGAAAGTAAAATAAAACTATTTAAATCAATCTATTATTGATTCAAAATTGAAGAGAAAACCTCATAAAAACATAATTTAAATCAACGTTTTACAAATCTTTCAAATATACAATAACTAGAGGGAGTACCCGCTGCAAATAAGAAATATCTATGTCGAACATCTCACGTATTGAAGAGCTATAACAGGTAGAAAATCAGTATAATTCAAATTTCTACGCTTCCACTCATTATTTTCCCGCCGTGCATCGCATAGAATGGCAGTTTCGGCTATATCTGTTTATGCAAACGAGTTACCGAAGCTAATTTCTGCTTCAGAAATTATGAAAATTTCCTCTTTCTCACTCTCACGTCATTTCATACCTAATATCCTTCGAATTCACTCACTCTCAACGTTTATCTTAATCTATTGAGATCCTGTAACGCTATTGGTGAGTTTCGCAGGTTATCTGTAGCATTCATCTAACTATCATAGGCGTCACGTGGATTGCTATCCTTGAGCGCTCAGACGGCCTTCGCTATTGATTTCACCCACTTTTAAAATCCTGCAATCCTATTGGTCAGTTGCATAGATTGCCTGTTGCAGACGCCTGGGTCATTTGTTCTCGGAACAAGTAGATGTCGACCTTCCTCTGAGTCTCAGGAAGCATTGCGGAAAGTTTCACGCCGATAGCAACTACAGGGACTGAATGCATAGCGAACAAACAAACAGGCAAACTTTCTTCTTTATATATGTAGATAGAGAATGATAGATGACAGTTCATTTAAAAGAAAATTATTTCATTTACGCATGTCGGAAGTAAATCTAATTTCATATTCTATGTTTCGACAAAGTCATGCATCTAATATTAATAGAGCAAACAAGCATTCACTGGAAATAATTATGTGAGATACTACTTCAAACTATGTTGACGAGGAAAAAATCCTTTTTCTAACAATATCATTTCGATTATATTTGGATAGTGATGTAATACATCGTGAATATCTTTAACTTCATTTCCAATTTCAAAAAAATTCTGCTTCTCTTTTTATATATAAGCTTCGTGCTATCTTAACTAGTCTTGAGCATAGAATAGATGATTAGAAAATAAATTTATATAATAAACAAACTTGTTAACAATATCATTAATTTGTCTTTATCTATATGATAGAGTCATGACTACTAATGATGTAAATTACGTGTGATTATTCAAGTAATAAGACTTCCATAATGATTCTAAAAAAAGTTCTTTTTACCGCTTCAACTTCAAAAAAATTGACTTTGTGATTTCAGCTGTGGCGAAATATGGAGAACTATGGAGCTCAACGTAGTTCATTAGATGAATTATAGCCATGAATTCTTCTGATATTTTCTTACTCGAATGTTTGCCGATATCGTTATTAATATTTTTAGTAGTTGATTATATGTTTGTTGATTGTAGTACTATTTAAAGAAGAGATCTTGTGAAAATATGTCGATGAAACTACCTTTAATTTTGTTTTTGTATATGAACAAGTCAATTGTTCAAGATAGAATGTCGATGATAAATGTTCTTTTCATGATTTTAGTTTATCAACATTACATTTTGTGATCTTTGAAGCAAATACTGTTAATCGTTATCTGAAAATAATCTGAATTACAATGAATACATTCAACGATATTATCGTGACAATTTTTTTAATATATGCAATTAGAATAATGTAAGTTATTATGGCATTAACCATGAAAGAAAAAGTGTTTTATTTTAAATGATTTTTCAAAATATAAATTTACTTGTTCAATCAAAATGTCCTCGTTCAATATAACTATATCATCTGATATTCCAAATGAAATAGATACAATCAATTCGTTAATTATTTTACTTGCACGTTATGTTCTACCTATAATCATTGTCATTAGTATTCTTGGCAATACGATGAATATATATGTATTTACACGACCAACTTTACGAAAAAATCCCTGTTGCTTGTACTTTCTATCATCATCTATAATTGCACTTATTTATGAGATAATCGATCTACCAATACGAAGTCTTCAATTTGGATATGCAATTGATATAGGTACTTACTCACTTGTCATTTGTAAAATCAAATACTTTTTCTCATATACTTGGAAGTAAGCTTTAAAAAAGAAATCTTTTTTTACATTTCTAACAATTATATTCATGGAGCATTGGTAGTATGGTTTCTTGCTATCGCTTCTATAGATCGGTAATTAAATTTTTAATTGAATAAACTCCTTCATTTGTCTGTTTTCTTTTTCACAAAGGTTTTTAAATAGTTCACGAAATGTTAATGTTCGAGGATAGAGTAGTTACAAAGTAGCATCGCGAGTAATCCCTTTAATATTTCTTCTACTTCATGTGAGATATTTTCATATCGCCGTATTTTATGAAATCCTTTTACCTCGTCAAATTTGCTCAGCTGTAAATGATTATTACGGGCTGTTTCTTGGCGTGTTCTATCTATTGACTTATGGTACAGGTCCTCCTCTATTAATGTTTATTTTTCTTTACTTACAATTCGACATATCCACCATCGACCGACAACACATCTCGATAATCGACTAAATCGAACAAATAAAAATTTGAATAAGGACAGAAATTTGGTTCGTATGACTTTAGCTCAATGTTTACTATTTGGATCAATAACAACTTTATATGCTAGTAGCCAATGGTATATAACATTAACACCGAAACAAACTAGAGATAGTCTTCAAGCTGCAAAAGAGACTTTATTTTACACGACCACTGGATATATTGGAGCGGCAGGTTTTGCTTCAACATTCTTCTTATTTACTTTAACAAGTCCATTGTTTCGAAAACACTTATTTCACCGACATAACTAGGGACTTAAAATAAAAACGTAAGATCAGTACTATCTTAAGGATGAGGGTGAAGGTGAACACTTTGGTTTCACAAGCTCAATCTGAAGATAGTTCTGGAATGTACAATTGTTTTGTGAAACACGATCCAAAGGAGAGTGTTGAAGTGTTTAAGGATAAAAATTTTGACCACTCCCCCTCCCCCTCACAGACCGTTAAGAAATTCATACTCCGACCAAAAGATTCAAAGGTCATTAGGCATAAGCGGTTCACTACATACAAGTGCGCTGTAATACTCTACTTTATATATAGAGTAAACATTATAGAGTACAAACTACTACCAGCTAAGGTTCATGGGTTCAATACTCTATTTGCAGTAAAAACATCTACAGCGGACGTATTTGCTATTAAGCTAACTGTTTCATTCTTTTTGTAAGACAGGACTCGCAGAAAGATGTTCAAGAGTTTTAGAAGACAGAGGGATTTTCCGCCCGCTAATCTTTATCACCTAGATCATTACGGAATCTAACGGGACTTATTGTTGCCGCCTGCCTTTTGGCATGCATGTTACCTATAACCCGTCTGTCCTGGAGTTGTTACTATACTTGACCGTAATTCACTGTTTTCTGTAAAGACGTGCACCTAAAAAATGAAGAGCAAGAGCTTGTTAGCAGAAAATCCAAATAAACTGTGTATCATTGTCTCACAGGCAGGTTCGTTCTCAACTTCGCTACACTGACGCGCGTAAATCGCGTCACACATCGTGATCAGCTAATGGAAGCGCAGTAAGAAGTATCACATATTTGTGACTGATGAAGCAAAAATTTCTTAAAAAGCAGCGGACATCGCTATTAGTAGTCATATGTTATTTTCAACAGCATAAGTTTAAATAAATAGGAATGCAGACTGCGAAATAAATTGACCAGTATATGTGCTTAAAGTTTCTCCAGGTGGATCGTGTTTCACATTTTTAATCCCGTTAGGGATTGCGTTGAAAGCTTTTTTCTGGGATCGAACCTGATGTTATTGTTTTGTTTGTTTCGATCGGTTTGATCGACTTCATTCTCTCTCTTTTTGTAAGCAAGCTTGTCGCTTTTCTTCTGTTTCATTCGTTCGACTGTTTCGACTTCGTTCTCTTTTCTTTCGAAGTTGAATCTGACGACTCTCCTCTCTATCGCTCCTCTCCGTTTGCGTTGAACCTGAAACACGTGGTTGAACAACATCATTTCCGGTATGGTCTTCACTTCGTAAGCGTCTACTGGGGGAAGATTGAAATTCAGGTACTCTTTTTTGAGTAACAGCACTGTTCTTAACCATTTTCTTTTCAGGAGTCTAAAGAGCGTTTCGACAATACTCTTAAATGTATAGATAAACAGATAATTGGCTTACGACAATAATTGATGACGATTGACTGGTGTTACCATGCTCATTGATAACAGGTGGCGACAGAAGTGAAACCAAATGGCTTGGCCTCCATATGCCATTGTGAGCTTCTCAAGAATCTTTTTCATTCGAGACATTAGACCATAAAATTGCAATGTCACAGTTCCCAACAGCAGGTGAAATAGGTCTAAAAACATTATCCCACATTGCCATATAATGTTGAAAATCAATTTTTGGATAGATACTGCGTGTGTTACATTTCAGTAAATTACATAATGCAGCTATTGTATATAATTCAGAATACATATAATTTTTGCAAATATCTTCAATAGCAATATCGGTAGATCCTAGATACTGTGAATATGTTTTGATAATGATTTTCATTTCTTATCAATTCAACAATTGTTCGCACTAAAAAAACGTTTTTCAAAATGAAATTAGTTTCACATAAAATAAAACAATCTATACCTCGTAATTCAGTAGCCGTCACCAGAGAATTGTTCATCAGAAGAACAACAGAATGGTATAAGCAGTTTCCATCGCCAGGGACAGTAACAGGAAGAAGATGATGCATATCATCAGTCGCTTTTTTAAGATATTCGCTAGCAATCTCATCCAGTATATGCTTTGTTTCATCAAAAACATGAGTAGGAGAAAACTGAAATGGTCTCGTCATCCGGACCATCTAGAATATTTTTATCTTGTTTAGTTAATCAATTACTCAAATAAACTTGCTTGTTTGATTTGTTGGACAACAGAGTTAATTTCAACTCCACCATAGAGATCACAACCCAGTGATTTCTGTGCCGGTCGCAAGTCCGAAAAAAGGAGGAGCGTTAGACGGAAGGGGTGCAGATACCGCCGTTTGTAAAAAGAAAAAGACGAAAGAAACTAACCATGAACGGTCAATATCAAAAACCATACCGGCTCGGACGACGCCCGGGGGAACAAGGTCCGCGTCCTCTGTCGTGGAACCAGGACAGAGTCGAAAAATTGGCTACTGGAACAACCACAACCACTTATACAAAAACAACAACAACAACGCCACAAACGTCAACACAAGCAACAGCGAGCAAGTATGACTCAGACAAACTCAAATTGATGAAAGATACTTTCACTGTGGGCACATGGAATGTTCGAACATTATGGGCAACTGGCAAACTGGAACTACTACGAAATGAAATGAAACGGTACAGTTACGACGTCATCGGCATTTCAGAAGTACGATGGACTGGAAAAGGTGAAACAACAAACGGTGACTTCATTTGGTGCGGGGGTGACAACACACATACTAAAGGTGTTGGAATGTTACTTAGTACAAGAGCTCGAAAGGCTCTTATGGGCTACAATCCGATCAATCCAAGATTAATTACTGCAAGGTTCAAAGCAACCCCATTCAACTTAACAATAATCAATGTATATGCTCCAACATCTGACGCAACAGAAAATGAAATTGAAATATTTTATAGCGATTTGGAAGACGCTATAGGAAAAACTCCTAAAAAAGATATACTTATACTAACTGGTGACTGGAACGCCAAGGTGGGTGATGACAATACTGGCTGGGAAACTGCCATGGGCAGATATGGATATGGAACAAGAAACGAACGTGGTGAAAATTTATTGGAATTCGCAACACTACATAATTTATTTATTTGTAACACAAGATTTCAACAAAAACCAATTCACAAATGGACATGGGAATCACCGGATGGCATACACAAAAACATGATCGATCTCATCATCATACAAAAACGTTGGAAATCATCTGTCGTCAACTGCAGAACATTCCAAGGAGCTGATATCAGCTCTGATCACTCCTTAGTTTTGTGTAATATCAAACTAAGACTAAAAAATATACAAAATAAACCAAAGTATAATCAACGACTCAACATACAACAGCTCAATGATCAAACAATCAAAACATCTTATCAAACACACTTGGAAAACAATTTAAACAATATTCAAACAGCGAACAATATAGATGACCATGCACTACAAATTGAAAAAGCAATTAAAGAAGCACTACAAGTGAGCATACCTACTCAAAAAGAAACACCAAAGAAACCATGGATCTCAACTCAAACATTGGATTTAGCAAATGAAAAAAGAAAAGCAAAACAAGTGAAACACATATCAACACAACTTAACAACAAGTACAAACATCTTTGCAACGAGGTGAAAAAAGCAGCAAGGAAAGACAAAGACAACTGGATACAAAATCAATGTGAAGAAATTCAAATGGGATTGAAAGTTGGCAACAGCAAACAAGCATACAACTTGGTGAAACTGCTAAAAAAGAAATTTCAACCAAAATTAACAGTTATACGAGATCAAGGTGGCACAATAATACAATCGAAACAAGGCATTATGGAAAGGTGGACAGAATACTGCGGTGGACTGTACGAAGATAATGGTGGTGGAGAAAAGGTAGTGGAAGAACTGGTAAACATAAGCCCTTCAAACGACAACACATCATATGGCATACTATACAATGAAGTACAAATTGCAATAAACAAACTCAAGAAAAACAAAAGTCCTGGAACCGACGAAATAACGGCGGAAATGATTCAAGGTGGTGGTGAACAATTGGCGCACAAAATTCATGAGTTGTGCAATAGAGCTTGGGAAGAGGAAACAATTCCAGAAGAATGGGGTCGATCAATCTTGGTGCCAATTCCCAAAAAAGGTGACACCAGTGAATGCTCGAATTATAGAACAATATCTTTAATCAATCACACGGGGAAGGTGTTTTTAATGGTATTACTCAACAGACTGAAACAACATCTGGATCCATATATGTCCGAGGAACAAGCGGGGTTCCGGAAGGACAGGAACACAACACATCAAATCTTAATACTCAGACTTCTGGCAGAAAAAGCAAAACGCAACGGCAAAAAAATCTACAATTGTTTCGTTGACTTCACCAAAGCTTTCGATACAATTAAACACAATATCATGTGGGCTGTTCTTAGGTCGTATGGGGTGGACAACAAGGTGATCACACTACTGGAAAAAATCTATGGTAACTCTCGATCAGCAGTTCGAATTGGTAGCGACATTGGTGAATGGTTTCAAACAAGCGTTGGCACTAGACAGGGTGACCCTCTGTCACCACTTTTGTTTATTGCATACCTGGAAAGAATAATGGACAAAACAACATCAACAAACAATGGGGCAAATCTTAGTGGAACATTGGTCAGCAACCTACGATTTGCCGACGACATTGATCTCATAAGTGAGAATCATATCGCACTTCAAGAACAGATTCAACAACTCACAACAACGGCAGCAGAAGCGGGACTCTTGGTGAATACAAGAAAAACAAAAACAATGGTGTTTGGTGGTAGAACTATTGACATGGAAATGGAAATACAAGGTACAACCATCGAAAACGTTGAGGAGTTTGAGTACCTCGGTAGCTTGCTAACTTGGGACAATGACTGCTCAAAAGAAATCAGGAGGAGAATCAATAAAGCAATTGGTGCAATGGCAAGTTTGAAACATATATGGAACACAAAAAAGATAAAGATCGAAAACAAACTAAAAATCCTAACTACATGCGTTTTCAGTGTACTACTTTATGCCTGTGACACATGGACGTTAAAAGAAGGTGACAAAAAGAAACTACTGGCGTTTGAAATGCGGTGCTACCGAAGATTGCTTCGGATCAGTTGGAAAGACATGGTGCGAAACATCGATATCAGGAAACAAATTGGTGCTCATGAAACAATAGTGGATAAAATCAAACGAAGAAAATTAAAACTATTCGGACATGTTTGTAGGATGGACGACAATAGACTCCTGAAACATGTAGTATTTTCAAGAATCAATGGAAAATCAAGGAGAGGTCGACCATGCCGAGAATGGCTCGACGATATCACGGAGTGGTGCGGCTATGGATGTCAGGACCTGGTTCACCTCGCGCAAAGCAGGGACCAATGGAAAGGTATCATCCGTTCTGTGGTTGGCCCCAACGGGCGATAAGCCTATGGGACTTTAAGATTAAGAGTTAATTTCATCATGGTACATGATACTTTCGGAACATGTTTCCAGACGCTGAAATAGACGTTCAAAGTGCAAACCACGGCTCATTTGATTACATTGCGAACAACAATCATTTGCACAAAGCATGGTGCACAAAATGCATTGATTGTTCATATTTCCTTTTATACTATAATCCAGAAAATATTATATTGTCAAAAAGCTCGATCGATTACGTTGACATCGTTGAATTTGATTTCGGAACAGAAACTGAACCAAGTGTAAGATAAATTCTTTCCTTTTGTTCGCAAGCTTAACTGATGCTTCTCTATTTTTCAGAAAAGAAATCGATCTTTCGATGAAACATTTTCGTTCCATCGTACAAAAACATAAAATCGAATATCACTTGTGAACAAGTCGAATGAATGAATCCAGTAACTTCGTAACTATTTATAGTCTGTGACGAAGAAGGTTGTTATCTGTTTCTCTCTTTTCTAGACTATAGTTTTCATCAAGTTGTTTTAAGTGTGACAATAAGCATCTCATGATCGAAATCGATGTGTGTTTCTGATCTGTCAATGCTTAATTGAGCCTAGTCAGTTTCTTTGTGATTTTTTACTTCTTAGACATAAGCCATTAGCTACTCGCAGTGTATGCGTTTATGTTGATACCTACCCATCACTTGTATTCATTGTTATCATCCATTAACCTCCTTCCTGTTCTCTTTCTCTCTTGATCTTGCAGTGGACGTGTTCATTGCAAGAAAGAGAACAGATAAAGAGGACAACATTGAAGTGAAAAATAGTTCATGATTGCCGGTATGTCTGTCGTTACAATACTGACAATCTCTGATATTTCACGTACTGTTTTCATTTTTCATTTTATGACAAATATTCAGTTTGTACATGTTCAAGTCATCTGAAACAGTCGTTTTCCTTCCAAATTGAACACAGTCACTTTTTTGGATAATGTCTATTATCGAAGTGCTGAATAAATATAGATGGCTCATATAATGTCGATCAATTTGCAATTATTTATTATAAGATCTGCACCAACGACGCTCAGAAAAATTGAAAAGGTTTCCTCTATCTGTTTTGCTTCTTCTTGAAAAAGCATCAGAAACAAATCTTCAGCTTCGTTCTGAAGAGCTTTATCGAGCAAATAATCACTTTTCAGAAACATGAATAGATTTCATAAACTTTTTCGAAAAGATCTTTATTGACCCATTAATTTGTTGTTTAATCGTCACCAGCCGAAAAAGGTTACATCTAATCGAACTGGATCAAAGAAAAAGCATACGAAGCATAGCCGACGACATTAGAAACAGAGTAAAAGAGCGATTATAACATGCGAGACGGACATCTATGATGACCTAATGAACGAAGCACAAGAAGATAACTGAATGGCAGAACAGAAAGAAAAAAAAGCACCTATCAACGGAATGATGGGAGATCGAATGATTTTTTTTCGCAGAGATAGGAACGCTCTTTTTACCAGAAAATCGTGAAATTATCCTATATTTGAAGAAAAAAAAAATATTTAAAAAAAAGTAAGCCACTTCTAATAAAACACATACAGCGATTGCGTTCCACTATTCTGAAGTTTTGGTTGCATAGATATTTTCTCGTCATATAAAAGTATTATTTGTACCTTATTGATTAAAACTTTCTTCTTACTGCACCAGCGTCCTCCTACTAATTGTAATTCATACATGAGCGNAATATCTAAGACACGTTTCAAATATTATTAAATATTGTAGCTAAGCCGAGAAAGAACTGAACAAACTGTATAACATTATCGGTCCATTACGTATATGTCATGTTAAGCACATCGTTTTCTTACGCCCCAAGTTTATATTATTATGTTATCGAGACTTGCAGCGGGTACCTCCGCTAGTTGTATATAAAAAAAGCGCACTCACACTTCGGAATATAAGGCTAGATATCGACACGGCCAACCATCGCTCCCCTTCGTCGGGGAAGGTTCGAATTCAAAATCACAGGAAAATAAGCATATTTTAGAATAGAGTACATGTCATAGTGTACAGAAAAAGTAATCTCTGAATGATAGTAGCGCTGTTCTGTTCTTTGATGAACCTCTCACATAGTGATAGCTTCAGATCACAATAGTTTAATGGTTAAAAAGTGTTAATGTAAAAGTTGAATTGGACCAAATACTACATGAACTTATAGAACAAGATATGCACTTTTAGACAACAAGCTTTGCGAAAAAATCTGCCTGATGTAAGAATAAATCTATTAATTACAGAACTACTGAATTTTTCATGAAATTCCGTCACGCAAATAGGTCACAGTATGTTTCATTTTGTAGCGTTACGAGTTCAAGTTTTGAAAATCACATGAGCTGATAGGTCTTTGGATTTCCATTTAACAGTGCAGAATAATGAGTGTGCTTTAAAATAAAGACAGAAGTTCTATTCTAGAAAGAAATCTATATTGATATTATTCTAATATGCGTATTCTATTCATCATTAGAGACGTAAGCCTATGATTTCGGCACGTCTGTATGTATCCATAAGTTGTTCTGCTTGAGCATTGTCTAGATCAGGTTTAATATCGGCAAAATATAATGCGACGGGACTATGAATATCAGCCGGATTGAGAGTTAAGAAAATACTTGGTAGACCTTGATTGAAAATTAATGCATGGATATGTGTGCGTAATGCTGTACGTGAATGTGCTCAGCCCATGACGCGACCACCGATTGTTTTGATACGATTTAGTAGTTTACCTGATCCCTTGTTAGAATGCTTTTCATATGTTCTTGTAGGTGTGATTGACATCACAAAGATCAGCCACATTGCGTCATGGTACAAAAAGTGTAAGGACTGCTCGACTGTAACGTTCTTGAGTTTCATCACGATCTTGCCGAGGAATCTGCGCACCATAGAGAACAGGTATATGGACTTCGCTCTATTTCATCAGTATATGAGTTGTTGCTTGGGAATGCTCTTTTTGTAAAGAAAATCGTTCATTTGCTGGTTGACCTTTTTATTTGTCTTGTCGTTTTTCTGTCGTAGAAGATTTCGATAAATATTTTAAATCGATTTCACCGATTTTCTTCTGGTAAAATGTACTCACAAAATCATATAAACATGTATTGAAAAGATTGTCTGGACGATGCTGATAATCAATGCGTGTATTAACGAGTATAAAGTTATTTTTGTCTTCCGTCGATTGAATTTGAAAATTTTCTTCATTATTTTCATCGTTGTTCCTTTCATCCTCATCACACATGTCTTTTTCATCGATTGCATCTACATGTAAAGGAAAAAAATTTAATCATCATAGACAAACCGTTTCATTAGTTCACATATCCATAAGTAACTAGGTCTGACTAATTCAGTTTGATGCTAAAGATTTATCCACGAAGATATCCAACTTAAACTGATTGGATTTCATTAAACTATACGAGACCAATGTTCACACTTCTTCCTTCATCACACCACTTCTAATGTGATGAGTCGTCAGGCTATTTGATTCCTTTTTCTTTGATTGTTCACAGATTGTTCATGTATTGAGCGCTGTCCCTCCTTTTTTATCGTTCCTGTTTCCTTTCGAACAAATAGATTGGCTAATTAGTTCACACAGATGAATCTGTCGGATGTTCAGCTTGTGCTAAATTATTTTTCTTCCTCTTTCCTTCTCTTTTTCATTCGATCATCTTTTCTCCTTCTTTTCGTCTTTTTTCCCTCCTCTATCTCTCCCCTCTCTACACAGACGAAAAAAACATCGCCACTGTGTGAGAATCAATTAAAAAGCTTCATCGTGTGATGTTAGCCGAAGATTTTGTTTTTTACGCATTTCATTCAATTCCGCTTGTAAATATCTCTCAGTTTGAATTAGGTAGAGATCTTGAAACTGATGTGTTGTATAATGGTCATCCCAATTCATAAGATATGAAGCAACTTGAACGCCGGACAATTCTTGCTGTGATGCAAGTGCATTATAACAACGTAGGACGAGTTTGCGTGATTTTTCAATTGCATTGTCACAATTTTGTTGATTGTTTGCTTTTTGTAGTGGTGTCATCCCTTTTTTGGATAAGAGAGAATGTATCATGAAAAGATAGACTCATCTTTGTCACATAATCGGCTAAACTAACTTTTTAGCATCACTACCAGTTCATATGAATTTAATATCCATATTAGAACGACAAGCTGATATGATATATTCATTGACATTGTTAACCCATGGATCTGATCGTCTCATTGAAATATGACTAGTTTCAGGATCGATTGTCGACACTGCAACCTGTTTTCGTGGCATGCTTAAACGACATCAACACGAAACCGTGTTAGGAAATTTGGTGATGAAGGATTTGAAGTAGGTAAGCAGGCAGCAAGTAATTTTAATTAATTCGATGGTGCATCCAAATCTAAAATATATAGATAACTATTTTATTTTTATTAAATATCATCGCACCATACCGAATGTAGGTCGATCCTATGTTGGCGCGTGTGTCAATGGGCTTGATATTGGAGACCTCTAAGGAATTGATGGTGATCCGAACGGAATCGATAGAGAAAATGGACGTGATAAATTAGCTGATTCATTTGTGTTCTCTGTCAAACCTGTCAAATCAGTAGTACGTAAAGCAGTATAGATGTTACTTTGAGATAACTTATTAGGCCTATTTAATGGCTCCGGTTGTGTAATAGATAAAAAAGATGAATGGTCAAGTAAAACAAAAATTTATCTTATACCATTCGGCGATTCAATGACTTGTATATCTTTGAATTCGCCTAAATCTTCTTTGATAATATCTTCTAAGTAAGCTATTAACTTATCGCGAAAAGTTGCACCTTGAATTTTTTCTTTCATATCAGCCGGTTTCAAATCATGATCAAGCCAAATAAGAAGATGCAGATGAAGTGAACCTCGGCGTTGACTTTCGACAGTGCCAAAATAAGCTTTTACTGGTCCGATAACACCACCCATGATCATAGTATCTAAGATATTGGTAATTAATGTATGAAAATATTTGGCGGTAGCAACTGGATGAGATGCTATAATTTCAGCTCTTCGATAGGTATCCATCAGTTGTTCATGTTGAATTCTGTCAAGATTAAGTAGAATAACAGAAAAATATAATGCTACTGGGCTATGAACTTAATTGAGCCTAGTCGATTTCTTTGTGATCTTCTACTTCTTAGCCACAAGCCATTAGCTACTCGCAGTGTATGCGTTTATGTTGATACTTACCCATCAGTTGTATTCATTGTTACCATCCATCAATCTCCTTCCTGTTCTCTTTCTCTCTTGATCTCGCAGTGGATGTGCTCATTGAAAGAAAGAGAACAGATAAAGCAGACAACATTGAAGTAAAAAGTAGTTCATGATTGCCGGTATGTCTATCGTTACAATACTGGCAATCTCTATTATTTCACGTGCTGTTTTCATTTTTCATTTTATGACTAATATTCAGTTGGTCCATGTTTCAATCATCTGAAACAGTCGTTTTTCTTCAAAATAGAATACAGCCACTTTTTTGGAATAACGTATGTTATCGAAGTGCTGAATAAATATAGATGTCTCATATAATGTCGATTAATTTGCAATTATTTATTATAAGATCTACACCAACGACGCTCAGAAAAATTGAAAAAGTTTCCTCTATCTGTTTTTTTTCTTCTTGAAAAAGCATCAGAAACATATGAATAGATTTCACATAACCTTTTTCGAAAAAATCTTTATTGACCCAATAATTTGCTGTTTAATCGTCACCAGCCAAAAAAGGTTACATCTAATCGAACTGAATCAAAGAAAGAGCATACGAAGCATAGCCGACAACATTAGAAACTGAGAAAAAGAGCGATTATAACAGGCGAGACAGACATCTATAATGACCTAATGAACGAAGCACGAGAAGATAACTGGATGGCCAAACAGAAAGAGTAAAAAGCACCTATCAACGGAATGATGTGAGATCGAATGATTTTTTTTCGCAGAGTTAGGAACGCTCTTTTTACCAGAAAATCGTGAAATTATCCTATATTTGAAGAAAAGAATTATTTTAAAAAAGTAAACCGCTTCTAATAAAACGCATACAGCGATGGCGTTCCACTATTCTGAAGTTTTGGTTGCATAGGTATTCTCTCGTCATACAAAAGTATTGTTTGTACCTTATTGATTAAAACTCTGTTCTTACTGTAACAGCGTCCTCATACTAATTGTAATTCATACGTGAGCGTTTAGGGCGCCAGGACGCTACTTCTGTCGGAGTGGGAGGAAAGAAAATAATTAACAGCAATAAATATTCTTCTGAAAGAGCATTCTTCCAATGGTTGCCACTTACAAATGACTCACTGAGAAGATAGGACGCCTTATAAAACAACGATCTTTCACCCCTTGTCAACTTTAGTTCTTTCTTACGTAGCATAGGCGCCATGGCGTCTTGTTCATCCTGTGAAATATATGATCAGTAGCCAAACGACAAGACGCAGCTTGCGCATGCAATAATATTGTACTGAATTTATAGTGAAGAATCTACTACAGGATAGTGTCCTAGCCTAGGACACACGGAAACCATAACTACTATCATCCTCCGTTTCTGATTGATCGATTTTGCGACACTCAACACCCGAATAGTTTTGTGACACGATGTGATGATGATGAAACAATACGTATTTATATTGGGTGATCTTTAATTTGAACCCTCTGACGTTGATAAAAACACACATACATACAGGCTATTCTATTCATGTGACCTACCTTCCCGTTGAGGAGAAATGACAACACTAGCTCTATCAGTGTGTTATACTCAATTCGACCGCAGCTCTAAACCATCATCGACCATCTTGATCCCCGCAAATGATGTTTTATTAAGTTTTGAACAATTTTCGAAAACAATGTCTTTTTACCTTTAGCCCTTGACCCTAACACAGACAGACAGACAAACTTTTTTTCCGTATGATCCTCCTTTCGACCGAGGGGACAATATCAGTAAAAAAACAAGGGTAAATTTTGGGCCCTTTTCCAACATATAAAATCCAATAATGAGAAAATAATCAATCAAATTCTACATGCGATTACGTAATGTAATCAGTCATATATGCAGTTATCTGTTACTGCTCATATGATAGTCAAGTTTACGGAAAAGACGTGATTCATATTTTTTAAGTAAGTTTCGGTTTATTAATATTTAATTACAATAAATGATATACAAACATTAACCAGATCACAAAATACAGTATTTGAAACGATTTTATGAACAACACATCAGTGATGGGATCGGTTTGAATTATTTATAGTAGACCGAACACAATTTTTGTTTATGTTAATTAACAGGAGGAACGCAGAAATATATGCCCGTCAGGTGAAAGTGAAAAATTAAGAATATTGTTGTGTTCTATTTACACAAATTTGAGAATTAAGATACGTAATTGTTATTATTTCCTATTTCCTTCTTTATAAAAATTTTCTATAGTGGAAAATTTTAAAAAATTCAAATTGGCTAGAGGTCGAATTAGTTACTTGCGTTAGATCAGGGGAATTTTACCTATCACTATCGGTAGAGAAATCAACAAGAGTCGTGTTTCAACAGATTAGCTTTAATTCCTTATCGCATATAATCTTATGATCTCTTTTGATATGAGAAGCTCGCGAAGACTTTTAATGTCGTCAAGGCTGCAAAATTTTAGAAGAAACTGTTAATGTGTCCTCTGAATTTAAAATAATTTCAATACTCAAATTTTGTGTTCCTTTCAAAATTTGTCCAGGAAATTATAAACTTAGCTTTGAACTTTTAATTCTAAAACTTAATTATTTTTAAATTTGACTATGAAAAAGATCGAAAAAATTGCAAAGAAACGCTCAAAAAGTTTCAAAAATATATCTGCTTGTGACAAGATTCGTCTAATCGAAGGTTTAAAAGCAAATAATATTTAGTATTCACGGTGAGAATAATATATTTCGGTTCACTTCGATCGGTTTGAATGAAAATCCTCTCGGTTTGGTTCGGCTATTGTAAAAACACGAACCGATCCCATCACTGAAACACATAGATCGTAGAAAACTCATTTCATGTACCAAAAAACAGATTAACTTTGAATTTCTTCAGTTCGAACAACAACAGTACTTACTCCTATCCGATGTTCTTGAAATACTTTCCTAACAATATTTCGCAACTGAGGTATGCAAAATATCAATACAACATTCAAAACTGCCATTGATATTGCAACTGACATCCATCCAACACGAAGTGACAAAGGATGATAATCACCTGTGACATAATATCTTATAATAAAGAATGTTCCCGGGA